GGTTCCTTTTGTTGAAATTGAGTGAAGAATCATGACATTAAGATAATGAGCTCTTCCTATTTTCTTTTATCAATGGATTTACGTTATTATCTGCAATTCCATTAAAAAAGGCTTCTTTAGACTGATGAACATGAGAGCGTCTTACTTTTATGCAACAATGTGCTTCAGTTCTCACATATGATACTGATCTAAACCACATTGAATGCCGGTAGACCTTGGCGTCATCGTGGATATGACCTAATTATTGTAAAAAATTACTGCATAAGGTAAAGAAAAAACAAGGTCAAGCCAAGTGTGATCAGCCTTAACTCATTGTAAATGGCCCACTGCTCASATTCCAAAAGAATACCCTTTTTTGCAAGCTTGTGCAAAGCCGCAACCAGCGTATTTTTTCTTCGAAATTTCAAAGGACTGGGACATAAAACTCCAGCCATACATTAAGTATAGTTTAAAACACGAGAGAGAGTGTTTACACGACAAAGAGTGTTTACATTTATTTCATTCACTAGAAATTAATTTTTTATATTAAAATCCCTTTTTAGGAAATATTGTGCACTGGCCATAACTATCAGTTTTGTTTAAATGTTTGATTGAGGTAAGTGTGAGATCTTAAGTCTTGGTAACTCATGTACAGTATTCATTGCATGATTACTGTTTAGATAGAAGGGCAGATGTGTATAAGTGGCAAGGATATGTTAAAGTTTCCACAAAAAAATACTAAAAAAACTCACATAGAATTGATCCCTTTATATGCGCTCGATGTCTCTCAAAACGCTGGAAATCGATCGCTTTTCAAGAGTTATTATTTCAAAATGTCCTASAGGAGGTCCAGGCTATYTTAATACTCCCGCCTTTGGCGGTCGTTAGACCCCMAGATCCATAATATATTTCGCGGTCCCTGACATGTGYGRGCTTGACAAAAAGTCCAAGYTACGCRCCAGATTAACAAAATGGATATGCTAAAYTTTAAACATAATTGTTTTTAGAATTCAACTTATTTTGGAATAAATATTGTGCACTGGCCATAACTATCAGCTTTGTTAAATGTTTGATTGAAGTGTGAGACCTTCAGTCTTGGTAACTCATGTCTAGTATGCATAGCTTTAGAATATTGCAGAATATTGATAAAAACACAAAACAAAAGAACAATGCCTGTTTCTAATTGGAAAAGTACATGTAAATAAAGAATATATTTCTTATTAAAAATGCGAAAAAAGTTTATTTCTGGTGCTGGGTGCACATAAGCAATGTGAATTAAGGTTGGTTTATAATATTAGCTTTGCAAATCATACCAACTGTGTGAAATTATAAGAATTTTTGGAACAATATGAAACAGCTCAAACGAATTTACAGTKTAGACAGTCCATTTTATGATCAATTAGTTCTTCCATTTTGAAGGATGAAGAAAGTATTAAAGTCAGCATATACTCGAGAAAGTACTCTCTTGTCGTGGTATCCGGCAAATGACAATGCTGCAAAAGCGTCGCAAAAATTCGGCTTTTAGCACTGTTTCTGAGGCGATCGTGTAGACATGTTTGAAGTGATTATGAAAATTTGTGTTGTATTGTGCTGGTCATAAATATTAGCGCRTGCGCATCTAAGTTTTGACCGATCTCCCCGATTTTGCGCATGTTGTCTGTCAGGAAGACAGAMAACATGCATCAACATGCATCGTTTCGTCGTGTTATTTTACGGTCTTGCTCTTTAGATAATTGTCCTGACTTTATTTTGAAGTTAACAGTTAACATTTGATAGTTCTGTGGTGTTGATGTACATAGTGTAAGGGTGTGTCGGCTATGCCGCTGTATAAAAATTTATTCTAGTTCTTTSTGGTACTTAATCTAGCGTTGTTGTCCGTAGAGGTAGTTAGCTGGTAGATAGCTAGGCAGTTGTTGTTAAGCGGGCATTGTTCTTTTGTTCGACAATTACATTGCTATRTTCAAATTTTGTTAAGGTTAAACAAAATATCAAATTAACGGACATAAAGTTCCCAAAAGTCCCCAGCACTTAGTWTATTGTTTTTTGAAGAATCATCGCACAAATAAGGTCCTCCAGCATAAAATGTCAAATAATACTTATTTTCCCAAACAATTGCGTTATTGTAGATCCTAATTTTTCCAGGATTTGACTTTCTCCCCCATCGATTAACTTCCTTKRTCTTATTAAAATACCCCCATTYATGACAATTTCGTGCAAGTTYCGAGGTATCGTCTGCTAGCATCTTAAACGAGTTRCATGCGGTTGGCCATGTTGCTTTSTTGAGAAAGTGATCCAATACCTTGTGTCCAGCGSTGTTATTGGTTGTCATAATGTGAAGAGTTCGGTTGAATCTCTTTTTGYGACATCTAAATCGAATCTGATTGAATCCCATGTCCTCTCTCAGCCGTTTTAKTGCCGGAGTGAGAATGTTTTGCCCAATATCACGGTAGTTTGAGATCGCACGGTAATCATCTACGTCCGTTCTCTTTTCTTGATTAGGATTTKTGGATGCTAGATACGATCGTTTAATTAGTGTCCAGCCTCCTGTAAACACACAAAAATCAATTGCTTATACAAACYTATTCAAATTTTACTCCTTTATCCACGATAAAGGAGTGAAAGATAAAACAATRCTTATACACTCAACAACTTCATAACAATAAGTGCTCTACACTCGTAAAACATGCGCGCTTTAATCCAGCAACTTTTTCCTGACAATTTCTTATGCCCTTTGACCGTAACGTGCTCAAAGTAACCTCCATCAAACATTCAGGCTTTCCTTGTTGTATGTATTTTTGTGTCTTAGGTAAGCTTGGCAGTGTCGGCTTGGCAGTGTGAAATGCATGCCGTGACGTATATTAACGCGCAGCCGATACCACGGCTGATAAGAGCATGMGTGCATTAGGRGTTTCGSAGARCAATGCGTCCGCCATCTTGAARRATWCTCRAATCAAAGTACTCAAATCAATAAAATCTAAACTCCTAAAGAAATTRAAAGGTCCTAAGCACTAAGCACTAAGTTAATKCATTACAATATAATATCAAGTTRATTTAATACGACATAATKATAGATTAGTTGACTTRGCAACTRCCAAATGTGTTCTAAGGCGCAAAGTAGKTTTCGGGMYTCACTTTTCAAGATGGCGACCGCATTGTTCTTCGAAACTCTTGATGCAKTTATTTGCAAAATTTWTGATATGCATTATAATTTATTTTATTAAATTGAAAAGCTTGGAGACTCGTGASATCATCGAAGTTAACACTGAAGATAATCTTATATACGTACTCAAATCAAATCATAGYTGCATAAACAWGTTGCATCATGACATTGCACGTTGATAAGGCCACGTTATTCAATACAGACAATCGTTTGGCGCTGTAATACTGTTATAGTCGT